AAGTGATTGTAATACTATTATCCTAACAATCTTTATAATTAACAATTTTTTATGTATATCAAATTTTTATTGTGAAATTTTGTAGATTAATTATTGTTAACATTAACCAATATGGCCTAATATCATAGCTTGCTGCTGTTAAAATATAATTCAAGATTAGAATAATTTATATATCACATAAAATGTATATAATTTATTTTTCCGTGCATCGCACGGATTACCGCTAGTAATGTAAAGAACTGTAAAGTACCGTGTCGGAAAAAAATAGAAAAATAAATAAATAAATAAATAGAATCATGATAGACAAACGAATAATGTGACTCAATATTGAACTCTTCCTAGAATAAAACTTGTATGGAGATGACCTACTTATAAAAGTGGCACCGTAGCATTATTGTAGTAATATGTTTTATATAAATTTTAGAATAAATTATACATATGGTCCTGTTATTTTTTATAAAAGATTATTCATACATATGAGAATACAAAAATATTTGGGAGCACTAAAAATGAAACACTAAGGGAAATTCTAATGAACTAGCCTCTCATTGATGTGATGGCTGAGTCTTTTTTTTTTTTTTTTAAATTTCCAGCTGGTTAGTACTCTGTGTTTTAGAACTTTAAATCAACTCTGCAATTTTAAATTTCCAGCTCATTAGAACTGGTTAGTACTTTGTGTTTTAAAACTCTAAATCGGCTCTGTATGAGAATAATTTTATCAACTGGGACAATAATATATCTATAGATCGACCAATCAAACCAAAAAAATCACCTTACCCAACCCAACAATCACCACCAAGCCCAACAAAAACAATTGTTAGATTGAGCTAGGTGGTTTCCTTGACCGAAAAATAGCATTGAGGAAAAAATTGACATAAAATTAGTTTGATAAATTCAACGTGATAAACAAATCAAACAATTCGAGCTTGACTTGTATTTAGTTAATTAAGAATTTGTTTGAGCTTAATTTATTAAATAAATAATTTAATCTTGAAAACATTTTGAAATTTGTTAAAATTTTTAAATCAAACTTGAACAATTAATTATTCATTTGACTTGGTACAATAAGCTTGAAACTATATAAAACTATTAAACTACTTGGGCTCGGCTCGACAAAAGTTCGTTTTACATTTACTCAAAAGTTTAATGAATCAAATTTGAACAAATTTTAGAACTTATTAAAAAAATTTAAAACAAACTTAAACAATTAATTGTCCAGGTCTTTTGACTCATTTGGGAACATAATTTTTTAATAATTTTTTAACTTCTTAGCTAAAATATGATGTAAAAAAAATTAGTATATTAAAGATAATTTTTTAATTTTTACGAAAAAATATGTAAAAAATAAAAAAAAATTAATTTTTTGATATAAATTATTAATTTTTTAATTTTTTTAATAACTAAAAAATAATATTATCAAACGACACCGGTTTATCACTCCTAAATTCAACAAAAGTCTATTATATATATAATTTTAATTTTTTTTTTTGGTTTAAAATTAGAAATAATTTTTTGGTTTAAAAGTAGAAATAAATGACCTTTGAAAATTCTAATGTGAAAGTTAACGAGTGCTTTCTGCGCTCATCATGTCATGAGATATTTGCAGCTTTTCTTATTCATTTATACCATCACTTTGCAGATTGAAGATTGTACTTTTTTCTCTTTATTCAATTGAAATGCAAAACAACAATGTTAGAGGGCATAATTTTTGTGGTTATAATGACTTAAAATTATCAAAATAATGTCGTTTTAATATATTTTGCACCTAAAATGATGTCATTTTGATAATTTTGAACCATTATGGTCACAAAAATTGTGACCTTCAAACATTTTCCAATGCAAAAATCTTCTCCAAGGACTTTTTCTTAGTGCCCGTTCAGCAATGATTTTTTTAAGTTGGTTTTTTAATTTTTTTAATTTTTTTAGTTTGGGATTTTTTTAGTTAGCCTCCGTTTGGGAAGTGGGTTGGCTTTTTGACTTTTTGGTTTTTTTGGCTATTTTAGCCTGGGCTAAAAAGCTTGGTTTGGGAAGGACTTTTTGGCTTTTTAGTTTTTTTGACTTTTTTTGTGAGAGAAGAATGTAATGATTATAGGTTGGATGTGATGTTTTGTTTGTTATGGCTAAAATAGCCTATTTTGTTTTTTGTGGCTAAAATAGCCAAAAAAGCCTGAAAATCAACTTGCCAAACAGAGGCTTAGTTGGTATTTTTGTTTTGGCAAATTTTTTTTTTTCCTTTTGTAATTTTTGACTTTTTCATCTTTTTTTTATCCTTTTGATAAATTCATTTCTACCATCATTTTTATGACTTTTATGAGTTTTAAACAACAGAACTTGTATGTGTACAGGTATAATACTATAATATATTTTAATTAAAGGTAATAGTAAAATTTCAAAATACATATTTTATCGATCAATATTTAAAATTCTCATGATTTGTTATTTACATTTTTTTAAAAGAATAGAATTTCTTTATTTAATTTATCAAGAAAGAATGGACCTGAAAATTTATTTCAAAGAAATACAAGAAAGCAATATTTAAAAAATTAAAAACTTTGATCTAATGGAGATTGATAATAAGTTTATGAAATAATTTGACCATTTCATAATAAAACGGTAATATAGTGAAATTTTGTTGTTGAAATTGAAAAATGCATCCATTAACTTTCAAGAAAAATGTTGTCACTACTATCACTATTATTACTACTAGCCACAACACTGATCCCAACACTTTCCGGTGTTCAAATTGGTGTTCTATTTTGGATAATTGCAGAAGTCCTGGGTTAGATGCGTACATGTGGTTTTGGATGTATTCATTTTGTTTTTAGTATTGTTTGTTTGGCTTGGTTTGGGATTCCCTCTTGATTTGCTTGGGTGTCATCTAACTTTAGTTAGATTGTGCTTTTTAAGTAGCAACGTTTACGTTTTTTATTTATGTTTATAAAAATTTATAAATTAATTTTTGTTTATTTTTTAAAAAATATAAATTATAAATGTGTTTGGTTTGAACAAAATATTTAAAAAAATTTAAAAATACAAATTAAAAAATATATTTGTTCATGCTTAAAATATTTATATTTATTTTTATTATTTATGACAATGAGATCACACACATTATAATTGAAAAAAAAAGAAAAAAATTAATTAAAAAAATAATTAAAAAAAAAATTAATTGGGAAAAAAAATTATTTTAAAAAAATTAATTAAAAAAAAATTGAATAAAAAATTATTTGAAAAATAATTAATTAAAAAAAATTAATTGAAAAAAAATTTGAAAACTGAAAACGTAAACTTATTTTTTGAGTTTACATTTTTTCTTCAAATTTATAAACTGAGACAACTATTTATACACCAAAAAAATTATTAAACAAGTTTTTATGACAGTTTTTAAAATTTTTGTAAATATAAATTGAAAACTGAAAACGGAATGGTTACCAAACAGACCCTAAGCAATTGGGATATTTTAAAAAGTTGGTTAAAAGTTAATTTTTTACTTTTAATTCATTTTAAATCATATAATCTCTTACAGTTTTATTTATAAAAAGACAAAAAAGTCAAAAAAAATGCTAAAAAATTAACTTTTAACTAACTTTCCAAAACACTCTTATGTGTTTCTCAAACTTCTAGATATAATTTGTTGTACTGCTTGTACTACTTATTTTATCAATAAATTTTATTTTATTGATAAAAAAAATTAAAATAAAAATTAAAAACACTTTCGATTTTTCATCCAATTACTTAGAGCATCTCCAACGGTAGTAGGCATTTTACCTATCTAATAAATATTACTATAAAATATACATTTTATTTTACCTGTCAAATGTTTCATGTTTGTACTCCAACCATGCTCTTTATTTTAGCTATTCATCTAAATACTATTAACTTTATAGAATGCCACGTCAACAACAAAGATGGAGGGAAATAATCCTAATAATTAAATACATTTTGCCTAGCCTTAAAGGCTAGCTACATGTAGCTAGTGAATGTGAGCTTAGCCAAAATGCCTAATCATATGCCTAGTGCATTGGAGTTGAAAAAAGTGAGCCACATTAGGCATTTTGACTAACAAGCATTATATGCCTAGTGGGTTGGAGATGCTCTTAGAGCATCCCTATCAGCTTACCTAAATTTTATTCTAAAATATTATTAAAAAATTCATTCTATATTTTAGGAATCATTTTTTCATCTACATTCTCCAACAAACTCCCTACTTTTTTCTCTATTTTATTAAAATAATCTTTTTAATTATTTTTAAATTTGAATATTTTTTTAATAATAAAATAATTAAAGTTTCAAAGGCAACTCCATTTATAGAAGAAAGCAGTAGAAGCAGAAACCAGGGGCCGGACGTCCGGGAGGTCGATCGTCCCGATGTCCGGGTGGATGACTGGCGAAGCAATTTTTGCTCAGATCATTTCATTTGGGACATCTGGGTGGATGACTACTGTCAGATATGAGGGAATTACAGTGACTCCCTACAAATAGGGAGTGACTGTAGCAATCTTAAATTTAAAAAGTTGTATAAGAGATCTGGTGTTGAAGGATTTTTGAAAAATCAATCCCTTATAATAGCAAAAAGTTTTTATAAGAGATCTGGTAGGGATGTTCTTACGATTGCAAATATAAAAATCAAACAAACAATACTCAATATTGATTTAAAAAAATCAATTTGATCCAAAAGTCATGAAATTAATTTAGGGTGTTTCTGAATATATGTTTAACATGCATATAAAATAATTTTTAAAAATTCAACAGGTCCATCAATTGCATTTGTGAAGGTAAAAAACCAATCATTAAAAAACCCTCCTAAGCATCAACTAGTCGTTTAAAGCCAAAGCAGTAATGAAGGAGAAAAGCCCTTTGAAGAAGTATACCTTCTAAATGAAACTTGTTAAAAAATATTATTCATTATTATTTATTACATTTTAAGCAATGTTTCAGAGACACTTACTAACATTTATTTTATTTTATATTATTAAATCTAACTAGGAAGGCACTTATTATTGCATAACAAAACCAACAAAAAAACTCAATAGATTTCATTATTTTTCCGCATTTGAAGTTGAATAGAACATGGAAATTGACAATCTTCAATCTGCAAAGTGAACTTAAATATAGCATACGGGTCACATGAAATTTTGAATTGCCGATCTTAGGTTTTTCTCCACATCCATCCCTGTCAAGTAAAACTCATTTTCCATCTGCAAAAAATATAGAGACTAATTGGAATCTATGAATAGATAATGGATAATGGAATTGAATTCTTATGGTTATCCAACTGAAAAGGTCCTGTTGAGCTTTATTAGTCCATGTCAGTGATTTGAATTGGTCATTTGTAAGGTCCGTTAAACAAAACATTTATATAAAAATTAATTTGATTTGGTATCAATAGTTATTTTATTGAATCATGTTTGTCTTAAGAAAAAGTTAATATAGCTTTGAGAGTAAGGCGCTGTGTGGGAAGTGGCTAAAGAGGCTATTATAGCCTAAAATGAAAATTTAGCCAAAAGCCCACTGTTGAAAGCTTTTTCAAAAAAAAAAAAAAAAGACTGCACAGCTGGCAGTGTCGGCACAGCCTACACTGTCAGCTACAGAAATTGTTCCATCAATGAGTAAATTACAAGTTCACCCCTTGACATCAATTTAAAAAAATATATTTTTAGAGACAAATTTGTCATTTTAATTTCAAATATCATTTCAACACATTTTTCAATACAACAACTCAAATAAAATTCATCTCATTTTCTCAAACACAAAAATTAAAATAGCCTACTAAAATAGCCAAAAAAACCAAATAGCTTGCTAAAATAACCACTTCCCAAACGAGGCCTAAATCAATGATTTATTTATGAAAAATGTGATTTGGTTCTGTAAACTGATTACCAAACTTATAAGTGAACAATTCAGATCACCAAAATAAATTTTTAGATAAGCCACCAAAATTTAACAATATTTATTCAGTTGAACGCCCAAATACTACATTCCCTAGATGATAATACGTACATTGTATGATAAAAGTTTGACAAATAAAATTTTCAGAGTGATCGTAATGAAAAAATCATTGGTGGTAGAAATATTTAGGCTATTTGACAACATTTAAATTTTAAATTTTTGGTTTATGTTTATAAAAAAAAAATTGTAAAATATAAAAATAAACTCATTCGGTATCTATTTTTGTTTTAAACAACTGTAAACATCTAACAAAATTTATTAAATTTTTGCAACATAAAAAAAAAAAAAATGGTTTCATTCGCTTAAAAATAAATAGCCAATCAATTCCTGTAAATCAATCAATTCTTTTTTTATTTTGTTTTATTTTATATATATATCTAACAACTGTCCATTTAACTAAAAAAAATCTTTCCAAACATATTAGTAATTTTTTTCACTTCATAAAAAAAATCAAAAAACCACTAAAAAAAACTAATTTCCCAAAAAAATCACTTTAATTCCCGTATTTCTAATTTAAACAATTTTAACCCTATATTTTTAATTTTGTTGCAACATGATCATTCTGTCACTAATCAGGAAAAAAAAACAAGTAAAATCAGATGGATCAATGTGAAATTCAAAACAAATTATAGGGACTAGCAGTGTAATGAATAAATTACACCAATAGTCCATATAATTTCTTTTAAATTATACTTTGGTCCCCCTAATTTTACACATAAATTTTTTTTCGCTCAAAATGTTAATAATAATACATAATGGAGGAATTGCATTGCGACAAATTGAACGTGTAGGATTCAAATTAAAACTATGATGGTTTAATTTGTTATATATATATATATATACTTTTGCCCACCAGTCCCAGCGAAACAAAAATTTTAAAAATCTGTCTATACCAAACGCATTTTTATCTTTATTTTCTTCAAAAACAATCATAAACAAAATTTATTTATTTTATTATAAATAAAAACATACACACGCGGAATCGATTACCTGAGCAATAATAGTGATGACAAGGGAAGTATTGCCAAACGGTAGAACAATACTGGTGATGATATTGAGATGAAGCCCCTGAATTTGGGTAAGTAATTTGGGTGTAACAAAATTACTTTTCTCGCAATAGATTCTAACAAGAACGTTGTTGTCGGAAACTTTCACATCAATCTGAGCAGACAATTTCTTGCTCAAGTTTTCATCATCATCATCATCGATTGCAGAGGGGGGCCCACATTTGTTCTTCACAGGAAGTGCAGTGGGTTCCACCATTTTCTCCTTTGCTTCTTTCTCCAGGGTTTGCACATGTTCTTTAAGCTGTTTTATGTACTCGATTGCGTCTTCTAGGATCGATGCTTTGTCCATCTTCACATAAATGAAATCATCAATTGTTCAAAAAAAACAATATGAAACCATCAATTATGTACGAATAAAAATTAATTATTCGGATATCAATTAGAGTATCCAACCTAGGTTTTTGTTTGGTAATTGTTAATATACAAAATGACATGAACTGAAAAAGTTTTATGGCATGTAAATGTCAATTATCATCCATTATTTTGAATGGACTAAGTATGCCAATGATTTTTTATTTTTTATTTTAAAATTTTTTAATAGATGTTATTAATTAGATCAAATTCATACAATATAAAAACTTAAAAGATAAAATTAACTCCAAGTATCAAATTGACACGAAACATGTTACTATAGAACTTCAATATAATTAATTGTACTATACATACCTAGAAAATTATTTAGAATTTTATCCACCCACAATTCGAATATGTAATAAATAGAGCATTAGGAAGCATTTGTATCGTAAAAGTACAGCAGCTATTCATAATTCAATTATGCTATTGGCAACACCCTAAGAATGAACCATTAATACCTTCTTTAGGCTTGGAATTAGGGCTGAGAGACATATGAGCTTTTGGTTAAGCCTTTCTCGACGCTTTCTCTCTGCCAAAATACGATTTTCAGCTTGCAATGGTGCCCTACTTGTGGCACAAACCTTTTTCACCCTCTTGGAAGCTCCTAATGTATCATGTATGTTCTCTTCAGAACTTGGTGAACTCATTGCCAACAAGTTCATATAATCCTGAGACGCCATTTCATCATCCTTAGGCGTCCCCGCGTCCCTCAGATCACCACCATTGAATGACTCTGAGTGAGTGGATGGCGATCCTGATTGCCCGAACAAAACAACATTTTCGTTGTTATCGAAGTTGTCATTGTTGGCGTTAGACTTGATTTCTCCAGCTAATTCCAAGATATCAGTTTCAATGTGTGCGCTTCCGTTATTGAGGGATGCATAAAACGAATACGCTTCTGGGGAAAAACATTTGAATGTGATCTCATCGAGTAAGTGATCGACTGAATCCATCTGGCATTGAAGCATGAGGTTTGGATCTTCTTCCATTTCCTATGAAATTCAACAAATTCCCAATGAATATCAAACTAATATGCATTATAATTCAGTTATATAACTTTCATAAATGATAAGCTATAAGCTAACCAGTCCATGTAGCCAATCAGAGGACATGACATCCATTAGCGTAGAGCTAGCTTGTTTAATCACACATAGACATGAAGTTACTAAATAAGCAAAACAATACTTGAATTTTTAGACAATGATATAAGATATGCAAGGGATTAACAAGCAAAGCACAAGGTTACCCCTAAAGCAACACCATGAGTACAGGTGACAAGGCTTCTCTCTCTAACCAATGCCCAAGATGGAGTATCCATATTCAATTCTTTTCAATTTATAGTTGCATACATGCACGAAATAGCCTAAATCAGAGTAATGCCATGTACACATAATTGTTACACTAATTCTGTGTTTGGTTGGGGGATCTAGAGAGAAATTTGAAAATGAAAATGAAAAAGGTAGGTGAAATGTGAATAAAACATGCTTATATTTCACATAATTTCACACACCTTTTTCCTTTCCCTTTCCAAATCTCTTCCAAAATCTCTCAATCAAATACAACGTAAAGATATTTAGAAAATTTAATGAGTGGTCTAAATTCAACTAATGGAACATTAGGCCCCGTTTGTTTCTAGAGATAGAATAGAGAGGATTGATAGTGAGGGGATTAATAGTGAGGAGATTGTTAGTGAGGGTCGTTTGTTTTCAGAGATAGAATGGAGGGGATTGATAGTGAGGGGATTAATAGTGAGGGGATTGATAGTGAGGGGATTGATAGTGAGGGGATTAATAGTGAGGAATTGTTAAATTATTTTTATATAAAATAATAAAACAAATAAAAAATATAAAAATTAAACATTAATATTTAAAAAAAAATTCTCAATATAAAAAAAATAAAAAAATTTCTAATCCCCTCACTACTTTTCTAATACCATCTCTACCTCCTCACTATGAATCCCCTCCCCAGGGGTATTAGTAATACCAAGGTATTAGTAATACCCTCCTCATCTCTCAAAACAAACAAGGTGTTAGTAATACCAAGGTATTAGTTAGTCCCAAGGTATTAGTAGTCCCATGCCTATCTCCCAAAACAAACCCCCCATATACTAGTCCCAAGGTATTAGTAATCCTAATCCCCTTGCTATAACCCTAAACAAACGGGGCCTTAATTTACAATCAATAGCGTATCAATTTTTTAAATAAATATATACGAAAGTGCTGTAGAACTCTAATTAAAGCTGCTACAGTACAACTCTAATGAACTATCCACCTAAAAAAAATAAAAGACAAAAAAAAAAAATAATAATTAATATTTCATTAAAACTATCTTTTTAGAGATCTACATCATTTTTGTAAATATATACGTCTGTGGATATATCTTTACCCCTCAATAATTGCTCTCCGAATTGATAGCATGTCCCCTCCCCCTCCCCCCTCTCCCTCTCTCTCTCCCGCGGGGAATAAACCGCCTATCTCATAGCATCCTCTATCACATGATTAAATTCAAAACGTATATTGTCCCATCATACAATAGAAGAGTGATTTGAAACAACGGAATAATAATCAAATCAAATTCAAAACGTACACTACTGCCGTATTGTATAATATAAGGTGATTTGAAATAAAGGAATAATCAAGAATCTAAACAAAAGGTAATCCGTTCAAAAAAAACAAAAAAAAAAACAAAAGGTTATGTTCTTTCTATAGGTGTGAGGCATCGTAATTATCGTATGGGTGTGAAACTGGACATTACAGTGTGTTTGGATTCTAATTTTTATTTTTCGTATTTTTTTTATTTTAATTAATATTTTTAAAATTTTAAATAATTTTTATTTTTATTTTTTTAAATGCATCTTATTTAGATATATTTAAATAATAAAATATTTGTGAAAAAATTAATAAATACACAAAAATATTAAAAAAATATATTGAATTTTTGTTTTTTTTTATTTATATTTTTGGTATTTAGTAAATTTTTTAAAAAATTTTTTCACAAATATTATAATTTTTAAATATATTTATGTTAGATGTGTCTAAAAAATTTTAAAAAAAAATACTTAAAATATTAAAAAAAATTAGTGAAAATAAAAAAAAAACGAAAAATGAAAAAGTAGAATCTTTTAAAAAGTGAATTTTGAAAACTGAAACCAAACAGAGTGAATAATATGATAAAGTGAGCTACTGCATCAACTTGTACAAATACATAATAAATGCACATAATTTTCTGTTTTAAATTTGTTTGCCTTTTTTTTTTTATCAAGAAAAAAAGGGATCTAAGGTGTCATCACGGCCTCGTGGGCCCTGATCCCGGGATAACCCGTTGCCAACCAGGAATTAACCTCCACTAAGTGGGGGACCCACCACCAGGGCACCAATGGAGTGCAACCACATACCCCAGCAGAGGACAAGTTGTCGAGGGGAGTACCGGGCGTGTTCTCATGAAGAGATTTCAAACACCCCCTCCCAGGAATCGACCCTGACTCAGTGCTGGGGAATGTACTGCATTCTCCACCAGGCCACCAACCCTGGTGGTAATTTGTTTGTCCTTCTATCCCAACATATCCACAGTTGCTAGATTATACCTGTGTGAGTGAATTTCTTACCACACTGCCAACTCAGTATTCAGCTGGAGAGCACTGACAGAATAGATGGCGCCTGATTGACCTGCAACAGAAAGAAGAGATTCTGGCGGTGGTTTGTCCACCCGGGGGCACTCCGACGATTAAGTCAGTTATCTCTCAAAGATAAACCAAGTACTTAACTCACTATTCAGAGTATAAATTGCGCACCTTAGACCCATGAGGGTGCCTTTCTTTTATAGCCAACACAAACTCAGTCCCAATAGAAGCCTAGCTTCAATGAACTTCTACTCAGTGCTTATCCTGGACTCTCCATTAGATAAAGATAAACTCTCTAAGAGCTTTATCCTTATCTAGGCTGAAATTCTTCTTCACTCTAGGACTTTTGTTCGGAGATAACCTCGGCCTAGCCAAGATAACCTCGGCGTCACAACCAGGACACGTGGCACCTCGGCTGACACGTCGGCGTCACCTTGGCCACGTGTTGGTACTCAGAAAATATATCCCCACAACTGCCCCCTAGATTCAATTACCTCGGCATCCTAAAGTGATGGAACCTATATTGTTATATCGTATAGCATGTTGGCTATCTTGCTGTTTTATCCATTTACCAAGGTCATAATACATCGGCTTCACACAACCAGGTCTTGTAATCTTGTCTCATCAAGGTTTCAGAATTTTTAACCAAGCTTATTCGAGTTTATTTAGCCGAGATTTTCCTATCAGCCGATGTCATTGCTTCATTAAACTAAGAACTCCAAGAGTTTTATCACGCGTGTAAACTGTTACGCAAAATACATCAACCGCTTTTGCCACATGTCTTTCCCTTACTGGATTGTACTCGATACACGCCTGTAAGTCAAATTTTTCTTGTGTGCGCCGTTTGACGCATACGTCGTTTTAGGCACATTAAATGCATTTTTGCCGCCGTTTCAAATTTTGACAAAACTTCCTTCCTTCTCCCGTCTTTTCACTTTTACCATCGTTTCTGAAGCTTTTTCTCTCTCTAGCTTTTTTCCAAAGATCCGCCATTGTTCAAGCTTTCCTAGCTCTGCAACTTGTTGTATTCTCCTCCTCCGGCGTAATTTTCACCACTTTGTCGCTTTTGCAACCGTTGTCTAACTTCGGCGATCCCCACTCCGGCCTCACTTTTTCTGGTAAGCCACTGTTCCTCCTGGTTTCAATTTCTTAAAAAAGTTTTTTTTCTTTATTATTCGTTACCATTGTCGTTCTGCTTAAGTTCTTGACTTATGAATCACGTATTTGAGCATGCTCATTTCATGATTTTGCTTTTGTCCAATTCGTATTTTGAATACATACATTGCTCACAAACTTGTTCACTTTTGCCACTGTTCTTGGCCTTACATCCTTGTGTACACTTCATCACAGTTCTCTTGATAGTTCATCACTGTTCTTGATTCTGAAACACGTTCTCTGTTTTCTGTGTCTTTTCCAGATTCGTGCCATCAATCTTTGTTTCCATAGATCTAGGTTTGGGATTTGTTTATAGAACCCACAAATTCTAGGAAGAACTGAAACGATCCCTACAAATTCTTACCCCAGCTCACATTTAGGTTTCATCCGAGGTCCCTATAACCCTTTCAAAACACCTTCTTTCTGAAATCCAGCTCCTCCAATTTAAGCCGACATCATGGGTATGTGGAAGCATAGGGTAGACACCCCGACCAAACTAGAGTACTTTAGGCAAGAGTTTGACATCCCAGCCGATGTTCATCTAAGGTTGGCTGGGGAGGATGATTCCATCATACCCGATGTGAACCTCATGCCTTTCCCAGTAGTGGCTTTTATCGAATGCGGACTTAGGTTTCCACTTGACACCTTTTTCCGAGAAGTCCTTCATTACTATAAATTGAACGCGATGCAACTTGCCATCAATTCTTACCGAATTATCAACGGTACAATAGCTTTAGCCAAACAAGAGAATGCTAGGGTTACTCTTGCCGATTTCCAGTACTGTTACACTATGTGTCGCTTGAAATTAGAAAAAGGCCACATCTATTACCTCAAGCCGAGTTCCATTGAGTACAAGCTCATTGCTGACCTCCCAGACTCAAACAATGGTGCTGGAGACGATTACTTCATCATCTCGGGAAACTGAGAATTTTAACCCAACGATGACCTCCACCTTTATCCTCTAAGCCGAACAGTTTTCGGGGAAGGAGATGGTAAGGGCCAAGTGTCACTTTTTCTTACTCTCTTTTCAAAAGTTCTCAATACTTTGTCCTAATGTCTGTGCTTTTCTTTTTGCAGTTCTTCCTCAGCCACCAAAGGGCTTTCGCCAGTTTTTCTTCCCCAGCAAAGACTTGAAGCAGCTATTGGATTTGCCAGTCTACAAACGGAGAGCCCCCCTGTTGCTTAATTTCATTTCTACCTACAAGTCGGTTCTTCCTAACGTTCCAAAGAAGAAGAAAAGCCTTTCTCCACCTTCCGCCACAACTCCTCAAGCAGCCTCCTCATCTCGGCCAGATCAAGGGTCGACCTCTGATCCAGCAGAGTAGCCGTCAACCTCGGCTCCATATTTGATCCCTCTATCTCAATGCCGTCGACGATGCTGAACTGCTTTTGCTGCTGAAATGGGCCGCCAAAAAGTAGTCGCTAAGGATTTTTTGGCCAACATTCCTGACTTAGTTGATGCTCAACCAGCACCGTCTCAGCCAAAGTCGAAACAAAAAATGATAAAGAAGGCTCAGCCAAAGGCAACGGTGACTCAGGTTGATACTGAGGACATCTTGCCAATCTCCAAATTGGC